AAAAAAAGAAAGAAAGAAAAAAAAAGAAATATAATATTTACTAAAGAAGTCTTTCCAGATTTCTATTCTTCTACCAATCTTTAAAAGGACTCCATTTTAGTTCCTCTTCTCTCTCTCTCTCTGTACAAGTCTTTGGATGATCTCTTCTCCACCAATAGTCTTGTTTGCCTTTACTACTATATGCCGATGACTTTGGCTTGAGCTCCCCACTCATACACCCAACTGTCTATGAGCTAAATTCAAAAGTAAACTGACCATTTTCTAAATCTTCTTCTCATCTGGTTGTTTAAATGACAGATATGGGAGTCATCTTTGACTTGCCCTTTTTTTCACACCCCCACCCCCCGTATCTAATCAAGAACTAGTTTGTATAGATTTCATAAATTTCTCCCCAAAACTATTGTGGCTACCTTGTCAAGGCTACCTTCCCAATTCCCTAACCAGTTTCCCTACCTCCAGCTCTGCTCTTCTCTAGGCCACCTTCCACAATGCAGGCAATGTGAGTTGAGCTAAAGGCAAATCTGGTCACAACTGCTCCATCTTCTCATCACTCTAAGCATAAAGTACAGGCTCCACAACATATTCTACAAAGTCTCTGTAAAATATTTTATGCCACTGGCTAAGTGTCTGGCGATGTGTAAGAACACTCCTGTCCCTCTCACTACCAGTCAGTTTTCTCATTTCTCAAGGTTGCCAAACTAAAAGTTTTGCCGCTAATACTCTACCTCGCCCCTCTGTCTTGCCTCATTCAACAAATAGCCAGTCTGCCTATCCTGGTTAATTTCTACCTGTCCTTCAGGTGTCTGTGTTAAATATCACTTCCCCCAAGCAGCCTTCCTTGACCACATATACTAGATTTGGTTCCTCTGATACTGTGATCAAGAACAACAATCACTTTCTTATTATACAGATATATTTAGTGTAATCACTTCTTGACTATCTTCCCTGAAAAAAATCCATCAGAGCATTATTGTCTTATTCACTGGACTTCACAGTAGGTCTGAAGAGATTATGTATTTAATATGCATAAGATGAACAGACCATTGGAAAGATGAATAGATAGAATGGTATTAGTTACTAACTAGGTATTAGAGACTAAGAAAACAAACATTTCAGTTAGGAATCAGTCTCAGAATATTTACATATCAGCAGTAAAGAAAATCTCAGAGAACTTAAGTAGTATGATAGGGATTTAAAGTATCAGGAAAGAGCCAAATTTCTATCCACATGTCTGATTTCAAAGCCCCGCTATTTTATTCTAAGCCACACTGTTTACTTATAAACTTTTAAATGAATTACAATCAGGATTTTATTCTCCTAAACAGCTACATGAAAATTATGGGGAGAAATCAAATGAAAATGAATACATTCTAAGAATTACAAAATGGAAACTTTTTAATGTTATACTATCTATAAAATCATCTCCTTAGGCCGGACAACCTAACATACAGCTTCATGTATAAAAATTACTTTTCTGAAATCTGCGTGCATCTCACATCTCAGGAACAGATTCTCAAGTGTATAAGACAGAACAAAAAACAGGAAGAAAAAAAAAAAGTACCAGTACTGGTAGAGCTCTAAATCTCAAGGATTTATTATTCTGCTGTGGATATTCATTAACACATTACTACACTGAATTAATTATGAAATTGGCAACACATTCAACAAAACTCATTTTGAAAAATATAGAAACAGCATGGTAAAGTGGGAAGAATATGAATTTTGGTGTCAGATCTGAATTCTGATCAATAGCCCATCACTTAATAGTTGTATGACATTAAGCAAGTGTTTCTACTCTGAACATAAATTTCACATAAATAAAATGCAAATAGTATTATCCTTATTCAGTAACTATTTTAAGAAAATTATTATAGTAGACATATTGCCATTAATCTCCCTCAAAATACTCCCATTCACTTCTAACACACTTGTCCCATTGTTCTATCTCATTGCAACTTTCTTAAGCAGTTCTGCAAGTCTTCTTTCCTGAGGTATGACAAAACATATGGTAAATGCTGCTGCTGAGTGCCATCCAATGGAAAGAGAGGTTTGTAAAAACTTTACACAGTGCATCCTCCTTCACCTTACTCACCAGATCTGGAATCGCGCAATTTTTAGTTCTTTCCCAAAGTTACAATGACCATGAAAGGCAAGTGTTTTGGATTACTTCAGAATACTGAGGTAGCAATGACAGTGCAACTAAAGATACCCATGAACAGAGACTTCCAGACGGCTTGAGAAAACAGCAAGAACAATGAGACAAGTGTTTCTGAAGCAAGGAGAATTAGTGGCAATGTGCCTTTTACTGAAATCAACTGCTTTTTATTTCAACATTCACCATTCTTTTGAATTACATCACATTAAAATCTTCATATATTTGAGGAATTTAATCTGAAATTGTGTCAAAACTTCACCCATCTGAAACAGTGATGATTTTTAAATCATTTTTCTCATATTCCCTTAATATCTGATGAGCCACAAATATTATTTTATATTATTTGGTGACTAAGGAGGAAGGAAGAAGAAAGAAAAGGCAGATATGACATGAAAAGATAAATGTTCCAGACGTTAAAACATATTCTATTTAATAGAACTTCCTGTGAATGAGAAAGTCCAGCCTGAAACTGGTATCAGTTTGAAAATGGATCAGTTATAAAGGATTAGGAATTCCCCTATGCTTTAAGAAGAAATCTCTTCCTTCCACAGTTCCCAAACTTTCTCAGGATTTCAACAGCATCATGTACTGTTCTTTGTAACTGTACATCTCCAAGTACCCATTAATGCTGGGAAAGATCCAGCAAGACAAGGTTATATTGGTGCCTGATACCTGTGAAGTCTGAACTTACAATAAATGTAGAACAGCAAAAAAATGAGGAGCTACAAGAAAAGGGAAGAGGAAAAGGGAAGGAAGGAAATGGAAAATGATCTACATGATATTAAATTATTAGTGGCAGAAGGATAAGCAGATCACAAAAAAACATGCCAATAAAAATAACATGCCAATACTATAATTAGAAATCAACTCACAATGTGAAATAAATCAGACACACATGTTTAAAGACCACACTGTTTCTCTGGTATAAGAAGTTAAATGTGGAAATAAAGACTGAGATGTATAATGGATACTGGGAAACAGGAAGAAAATATTCAAATAGGAAGGGGAACAAGGGAGGAGGGAGGAAGAAAGGCAGAAGGGACAAGAAAAAAGGCGAAAACAGAAGGAAAAAATGGAAACAAAGCTTTTGTACATAGGGAGGGGAGGGGGATTGAGAGGGGGAATGGCATAAAATAAAATAAAATTTATTAAGATTAAAAATAAATAAATAAACTTAAGACAAGATCTTCTCTTTATCACTTAAACGTCCTTTAAAATTGGCTTACCAGAATCATAGCTTGGAGGCTTCATATCTCCCTGATTCAATTCTGTCCCATATTTCAACTTGTGGTATTTGGCTCTAACAAAGAAATGAGAAAATATAAACCATCTTAAAACATATTTACATAAATTTTAAAATACATAAAGGTAGTAGTATGCAATAGACCTAGCAGAAGCCCTTCAATTTTTAAAGGCTCATAGCCTTCCATGTTAATAAAGTCATAATACAGAAAATCTTGCCTTTTTTGTTGTTAGATCATCAAGTGTCATTGAAACAAAGTAAAAGAATACTACTAGGAATCTTAAGTCTTTCTCTAATTACAAATTAACCATAAATAGTCACCTTTCTGAAGTATTCATGTCTTTTTGATGATTGCAATTTGAACTTCACTGTCAACAGGTTTGGAAATACACATGTAAGATTTCTAGCTTTTCTCAAAACTGAGTTTTTAAAGAAAATTAAGATCATCTATAATATTATGTGCCTTGCCAGGTAATTATGATTCACCAAGTATAGTTACAATATACCATATAAGGGAGGCAAAAATCCAGTCTAAATCACCAGTGATGAATAAGGTATTCTAATACTAATGAATTTTTTTTCCTAGTTAAGATATTCTTTGTCTTTTGCTCGAAAAAACTGAATGGCCATCTCCCTCAAAGACAACTGAGAGGGCTTCAAGGAATAGAATCGTATAAGATACCCACCTGAATGACTCAAAAGGATAACAGCAGAGATTAGAAAACAGATCAAAGAGGTACACAGGGAGATACATCAGATATAACTAAATAATGGAAGTAACAACTAATAAGATCCACTTCTCAGAAGACACTAATAAAATGCTAGCTGAGCTAAATAAAATGACACAAAACATTAATTCTTTGTTAAACTTGTCACTTGAGTCCATGTAAAGGTTTCAATCAGAAATGCAGGAGATTAAAAATTATATTGAATTCAGTAGCATGGTGCCTGCCTTGCAAGCACAAGGTCTGAAGTTCGATCCCCTAGTACCCCCAAAAAAAACTATACTGAAAGTAGGGGTAGCAGAAGTGACCAGCGTGAAGACTGAATTTCAGAACTACAAAACAATGATGCCTTCAGAAACCAACAACTCAAAGACACCTTAAAAGCAATGAGAGCATTCAAAATGGATCAGCTACCAGATGATGCAAAGATTAAGAGTAACTGGAGTAAGTGAAAAAATCAGAAGACAACTCAAATAACATTAAAAAAAAAACCTGCTCACATAAATAAATGCAGAAAACCCTCAAATATTGGGAAATAAATAAACATACACATAAGGCATGTAGCACTCCAAATAGCCACAACCAAAAGAGAACCTATCTTTTGTGTAGTAACACAAGATATCAGAGTTCATCACAGGGATATAATATTAAAGGCTGTTAGAGAAAGACAACAAATCATTCATAAAAGTAACCCATCAGAATTAGAGCTGACTTCTCTACACAAAGGAAAAGGCCAGGAGAGCGTGAAGTGTTTCAACCCCTAAAAGATCAGTTCCAACCCTGACTTAGGTATGTATCCTACAAAACTTTCCTTCAAAAGTGACAGAAAAATAATTTATATCAATGATAAGGAGCATTTCAAGGCATTCATAAGCAGAAAGCTAGCATTTCAAAAAACTGTCAAGGATATCCTAGAAAGAGACCATAAAGACAACCGTGACAATAAGTAAAAAAGAATGAATACACCTGGCAGATGAGCAGCTAAACAAAAGGAGGGGAAAAAAATAAGTAAATCAGTAACAGGAAAATAATGTGATGACAAGAATAAGGCAACACCTTTCAGTAATAATTCTTAACATGAACAGTCTTGGTTCCCTAATCAAAAGACAAATTTGCACAATGGCTCAAGAAACAAAACTCAATGATATGCAGTATAAAAGAAATACATTTGATTTAAAAAGAACCAGATTAAAAATCAAAGGATGGAAGACATTATTCCATACAACAGGAACCCACAAAAAAGCAGCAGTAGCTATCCTATTTTCAGACAAAGTAGACTTCAAGCCAGAACTGATCAGAAAAGAGAAGAAAAAAAAACAAAAGGTCACTACATATTCAATAAGGGAACAATTTAACAGGAAAAGGTAACAATCAAAAACATATACACATCTAATACTATCATGCCCAACTTCATAAAACAAACACTAATGGATTTGAAAAATCAAACACACACCAATACAACTGTACTGGAGGACCCTTCATACTTCACTGTCACAAACAGATCAACTAAACAAAAAAATCAACAAAGCAATATCCAAACCTTCAAACAAATGGATCTGATTATCTACAAAATGTTCCATCCAAAAACAATAAGACACACATTCTTCTCAGAAGCACATGGGACTTTTTCCAAAATAAACTCTTTACTGGCTCATAAAGTATGCTTCAGTAAATGCAAAAGAATTAAAATTATTCCATGCATATTGTAACTGAGGTAGAAATCAATGTCAAAAGAAACCACAAAAGCAATGCAAACACATAGAAATTAAACAATATCCTCTCAAATAATCAATGAGTCATAAATAAAATTATAGAATTATCAAATGATAATTATAACTATCATTATCAAATGATAATGCCAGTATGACACAGAGGAACATATGGAACACAATGAAGGCAGTCCTAAAAGAGAAGTTTATAGTGGTGAATGCCAACATCACCAGAGCAAGCTCAAATAAATAACCTAATTAATGCATCTGAAGGTCCTAGAAAACAAGAACAATCTAAATCCAAAGCTAATACAAGGAAAGAAATTGTAAGTATCTGAGCAGAAGTTAATGAAATTGAGGCTAA